CATGGCACTCTGGCCTGGGCAACAGAGTGAGACTCTGTCTCAAAAAAATAAATAAATAAAAATAAAACCGGGCCATGACTTTTTAAGAATACCTCATTTGTGGTCTCTTCCATCTCGTTGGTATTTATTATAAGTAACACCCTGCAGTAACCGTTCTACTTACCGACTTTATCAAGTTCCAGGACGTTATATTCGACTCCCAAAGAATTAAAGAGTTCTTTAACCTGCAACGAAAAATTACCTAAGTTTCATTCTCACAGAGGATTCAACGGTTGTGAAACGTGGACACACTAACAAGGGTTGCGCAAAATAAAGAGTTCTTTAGGAACGTGAGTGTTTCCCCCTTCTCAACACACTCTCCCAGAATAATCTCAGCCCACCCCTTGCCTTCTTTTTACTCTCTCCCTGTGACTCCCAGATCTGCGTCTTTCCCTCAAATCTCTTTTCTGAACTGAGGACAGGCAACGCGGGTTTTTTCCACCTGGATGTCCCAGAGGCGACAAGCCCAAAATGCAGCTCATCTTCTTCCAGGGTATCTTTTCCCCCTTCTCTGTTTCCTTTCGACACTCATTACATCGACAAATTTTTATCCACCCAACACCTTCACCCACTGTTCTAAGTACTCGAGATGTCACAATGAACAAGACACAATCCCTGCCCTCAAGTAGGGCAAACAGTCAAGGAAGGTGACATCTATCCCATTACCCAGTTGCTTAAACAACAGACCCCGGAGTCTTGCTATGCAAATAGGGGCCAGGAATGGCCGCCATCCCTAGGAGCTTACTGGTCTCACGGGATCAGGACCTACAGCAGAATCTGCATTTTTTCTTTTTTTTTTTTTTTGAGACAGAGTCTGGCTCTGTTGCCCGGGCTAGAGTGCCGTGGCGTCAGCCTCGCTCACAGCAACCTCCAACTCTTGGACTCCAGCGATCCTCCTGCCTCAGCCTCCCGAGTAGCTGGGACCACAGGCACGCGCCACCATGCCCGGCTAATTTTTTCTGTATATTTTTAGTTGTCCGGCTAATTTCTTTCTATTTCTAGTAGAGACGGGGTCTCGCTCTT